ATCCCACGGGTCACCCATAGAGCTGTTCATAGGCTCCTTTTCCTCCATACAGAGTGATAATAGACACTCTTTTGAATCAGAGGTAACCCAGGAAATAAGCAAAGCCCTACATCTAGAATAGAAACTACATGCATCCTGAAACTGACGCAGGAAAGGGGCAGAGGGTATTGAAGCTTGTCCTCCTTCAGACAAAGGTAGCCCTCAGAATCAGGCTTAACTTAAGCCCCTAGAAATAGGTTATGAGAGACCTTTCCTAGCTCTGAGCAGTAAGTATGGTAATATAACCACAAATTATAAAAGCAGAGTAAAGCAACATGAGTGGGTTGGGTGCTAACCACTCTGCATGAGTTTGCCTCTTTCAGTCCCCACCCTGGTTGGAAACAAAGAAGTGGAAAGGACCCTACAAATGGCCTCTAGTAACTCAAACTTCATTGAAATTGTCAGAAGTAAAACCTTGGGTCCATCATACCAGAGTAAAGAGATGTCCCATAGAAGAAGAGGACCCAAACCCCCAGTGGAGGGGCCAGCTGGTAGGCGATCTAAAGTATCTGTTTAAGGAAAAGGAAAAAATGAAAATGTGAATATTTTCACTGACCTTTCTTTGGTTATTTGTTCTGTCTATAGGATAGAGAGACAACTCCTTAGTGAGGATTTCCCTGGGCTGTCGCCTCATCTGTCATGCTGTTGGGTTTGTCATCCTAAACCTTGTTTGGTGCAAGTATTTCTGTATATGATTTTTGACTTTGCAGAAGCTGGTCTCTCGGATCACCTACAGGGTGCAACTAATAGCTCTGCGCTCAGAGGTCCCACGTTTCTTTTCTAACCCACCCCTGTATCAGACATTGTGTACAAACCAGTGGTCCATTTTGCCTTGTCTGTCTTCACTGTTGTAGCTGTTGCTTATGACTTTTTCCACCTGGTAATCTGTTGCCATAAACATAGTGCCAAAGCTTTGCAATGGCATCCATCGTATAAACCTTCCATCTGAAACATTGCCCCAGTTCAGCAGGAAGTAGCTCAATGACTATGTTGCCCCTCCTCCCATAGATATGGAAGGGTAAAATTGACAGGGAGGAATATGTAACAAATGGAATGGCCTGAAAAAAATAGCAAAAATGTTTTCTGTCTCTTTAAAAGCTCACTCACCCTTTTTGGGAACTGAAACCTGCATCCCTGCCTTTAAGCCTGTGGTTGGGAGGGATAGGGGAATGTCCTTTTGTTATTTGTGCTAAAGGAGGTGGATCAACTGAACTGTCCAGGCGGAGATCCTGGGGCAGAGGTCACAGGATTGTCCTCAGCAGAGATAGGACAGAAATGGGATGATCAGATCATCAACTGTAGTTGAACAGCAATTGTCTGAAGCTGAATGGCCTCTCTTTAAAAGCTCTGTATTTCTGTTTATTATTAGGATGACGGCATTTTTACACAGGCATCTCCATCCTTCTCATTTGTTGGCACATTGATAAATTCCTCTTTCCTTCTCCTCAAAAAAAAAAGAAACAAACAAACCCAAAACTGATAATGAACCCCTTCCACAGTTCCCCATTGCTCTTAGGGTAAAGAAAAAACTACTTATGTGGTTCTCGAGGTTCATGTGGTCTGGTGTCCAACCTGCTTCATCCCGTGCCTCGTTGAACCTCTCTCCACACTGACCAGCTTCCAAGGCTTGGTTCTTTCCTGGCACCGGGCATTTGCACATGCTTTTCCCACTCTCTGCTTGGAATGTTTTGTTCCTTTCTCCTCAGTAGGTTAACACTGACTCTTCCTTTAGATCTCATTCAGTCATCTCTTCCCTGAGGAGGAATCACCTTCCTCAGGGAAGAGATGACTTAACTTCCACAGTCAGGTCAACTCAGCCTGTCACTGCTTTCGTTGAAACTGAGTTGTTTCTTTGTTTTTTTGGTTGTTTTGTTTGTTTGTCTTGGTAGCACCCATCACAGTTCTAATTATATTTATTTTTGTGCTTTTCTAATTAATTTCTGTCTCCTAATTGGATTGTAGGCTCCACAAGGTGAGGATCATAGTATATGTTTTTAATCGCCTGTCAGCTTAAACAACTGAGAGAGGCTTTCTAAAAGAAAATGATTATTTATTCACACATTGGGCATTGCAATGGGAATACATGTGCCACAGTAAACTATGTGCGTATTCAGGGAGGTAAGGGAAGACAAAGGCTTTTAAAGGAAAAGTAAGAAGGATTACATAATTGTTTTGAGACAATTATCCTTGGCTACAAGGATCAATAACAAGGGTGGCACCAGTCTGAGGTTGGACAGGCAGTCGCTGGGCAGATGTCCTCACAGCAGTATTTTTTTGTGTAAGGTTGTGATGGTCTTTGTGGCAGGTTATGCTTTTTATAGTCTTTTGGAATGTTTCTTTTTATCAGGCATTCATGCATGAGAACCCTCCCTTCATGGCCTTCCCCGACTCTGTTTGTCAGGGTTTTTAACACAAGTGACTCCATTTTGATTCTGACAATTTTTACACTACCAATGCCTGTCTTAATACCCAGCAGCTAGTAGGCCTTCAAAGGTTTGTTGAATGAATAAAGGGAATCCCAAAGAATACATTTTAATGGTGGCTGGGGTTCAGGGGGTAGGAGGTGGATGCTCAGGCAGAGACTGCTCAGTGTCCAGGTCATAGAAGTGATCTTATAGGAACTTGACCTAATAAAGATGCTGCCTCCTTAACATTACCATTTTGCCAGTCATAAGTTACCTGCCCTTTATTTGATCTTTTTACCCTTTAGTATATTTCCCTATTCTTTAGAATTCCCACACCAGCTGCACCAAATGTATCAAAAGCCACTCAGAGGTGGGCCTCATTTAGCTATTTCCATCCAACCACAGCCTGGTTCCCACAGACCTTTCCCTGTTTACAGAAATGAAAACTAGGAATTCTCCACAAATGCATCTGTTTTTACCTTTTCTTGAAGTGAGTTTTTCACCTTTGTGTTAGTTAGCCTCTTCATTTCTCCACGGTGTCGTTAGGTCTTGTACCATGTGGTTTCATCAAAAGAAAGTGCCCTGTGCCCTCATGCTCATTCCTCACACGCAATTCCCTGCTGATCCTCAGTAACTGGAATATCACACTCAGAGGAAATTAGCACTTCAGGGAAGAAGCTGCAACTATCTTGCTCTGGCTCTTACAGACTGATAAAATAATGAACTGAATTCCTGGAACTGAAAATAAACTTGTCGAGCAAGAATATATACTTACAAGAAAGCATATCAATATCTATATAGTCCTTCTTTTTCTCCTCAAAATGAGTACAACTTGCTGGGACTATGAAATGCGGAAGAAAGTCTGATTCTGAAAGAATGACGGTCCAGTGTTTGCTTTATACCAGTATTTCTTGCAAAAACAGTATTTAAGAAAACAATAGCAAAAACAAAAAATAATAAACATCAGCCAGGCACGGTGGCATGCATCTGTAGTCTCAGGTATGGGGAGGCTGAGGCAGGAGGATCATTTGAACCCAGGGATTTGAGGCTGTACTATCTCTCCTATTATCGTGCCTATGAGTAGCCACTGCACTCCAGCCTGGGCAATATATTAAATAGCAAGACCCTATCTCCAAAATACTGTTACCACTAATAATAATAATAGATGTTAAGAATAAAGATGTTAAGAATAGATGTTAATAGATGTAAATAAATGTTAAGAATAAAGAATTAAATTGCCTATAATGCTACCTGCAAAAACAAAAGCTGTTTTTATTTTCAATGCTTCCTTCTAGTATTTTTCCATGTAATTTTAGGATAAATACACACTTAAATTCTGTGTTTTTGTTTGTTTGTTTGGGTTTTTTTTTTCTCATTTTTTTATCGAGATAGGGTATTGCTCTGTCACCCAGGCTGAGTGCAGTGGCACTAATATAGCTCACTGCAATCTCAAACTCCCAAGCTCGCGTGATCCTCCCACCTCAGCCCCTCAACTAACTGGGACTATAGGCATGTGCCACCACACTTGGCTAACTTTTTTGCTATTAATATTTTTTGTAGAGATGGAATCTCACTATGTTGTCCAGGCTGGTCTCAAACTCCTGACCTCAAGGGATCCTCCCACCTCAGCCTCCCAAAGTGCTGGGATTACAGGTGTGAGCCACCATGCCTGGTCTTATTTTTTACTTGATATTATATATGTTTTCCTAATTACTGTTTCATAATTAGCAACAGAATATTATGAATTCATTAAAATAATCATTATGAAGACTGCAAAAAGCCCTGAAAACGTATGCTATCAATTAAACTTGTACCATAACAGTAATAACCAAATTTTAAATACAAAGAACTAGGTTTAAATACAACTTTTTCCATTTAGTAGTTCTTTCATCTTGGGCAAGTAGTTTAACCTTTCTTAATTTTTGCTTCTTTGTTTTTAAAATGAAGTTCTTAATAGCTGCCTTATGGTTATTAAAGGGATTGAAAGCAATAATATGACCAGCTAAGGTAGGTCCTCAAGGAAAGGAAGATATTTATAAAAAAATTTTTTTTGAATAATATCCCTTTTAATAAGCCTCCCTTTCTCAAAGAAATCTAATTGATCTCTAGTTTAATCACATTACAATGAAGCATCTATCTTCCCATTACTTCCTTCTTAGAGAAATTTCTAGAATGAAGTTAAACTGGGTTAAAAGATGTGACCTGACTATGACCCTAAAAGTTTACTTTCCCCGAGCTTTGTGCTAATTGGAGTTGCTGTCCATTCTCCCATGTAACAGAGCCGCATTTCTTAGGGAAATATATAATAATTATATATATAATGAACAAATAAGAGTCAGAAAACCTGCTTATTTATCCTGTCAGCTGAATCACTTATTCCTTCAGTAGGACGGTACCTGGGCAACCTCTTCCCAACTAAGAGAAAATAGAAAACCATAATAAATCTACACTCTGAAAGAACCTGAGCTCTGAAAGGCTGAACCTTCTTCCCTGGACAGACCATTTGTGTCTAACAGCTGAAGGCTAGAGTGAGTTTGAACCACAGGCAGCTGTTACCTTAAGGAGCTTGAGCACAGGAGATCCTTGACGTCCACACCCCTCTCAAGGTGGGAAGCAGACTAAAAAGACCTCAGCTTCGCCAGCCCTGCCCAGATTGCTTCCAGAGCTCAATCTGTCCTGGCGGGTGTGTGCCTTCGTCAGAGCCTGCTCTGAGTGTGAACAGCATATGCTCCAATTCTGGACAATGAGACATAAAGATAGCTCTGCTGAGGGTTTTGGAATAAATTATATCCTGAATAACATGAGCTCAGAATAACATTTGTATAAAATAGCTTACATAATACCAGCATTATGTTGTGGCATCTCATGTGACTTACAACACCTCATGCTATATTCATTTGGGGACTTATTTTCTATTCCCTTCTGGATTCTAAGCTCTTTTTCTTATTCTTCTTGGGTGTCCTCCCTTCACAGAGCACATAAAAGACATTCCATAAATTGCTGAAGAAATGGATAAATATATTTTCTTCGGAACTACAATTCTAAATTCATTTGACAAGGTGAGTAGAATTATATTCCTATTGTCTGCTAGGATACTTTGACTGCAAATAAGAGAAATTCAATTAAAAACTACGGAAGAAGATATATTATCTCACACAGCAAGAAGTCTGAAAATACAGTGACTTCAGGATGGGTTCATTCAGTAGCTCCAACATGTCAGCAAAAGATCCAGGTTGTTCCTGTTCTTCCAAGTTTACCATGAGGGTTTCCTCCTTAGTCTGGTTGTGCTATAGATGCAGCAGTTATCAATATCATGTTCAGAAACAGGCATGCCCAGAGGCAGGAAAGAATATCCCTTCCTTGAGCACATTCTATAACATAAGTGACAAAGCCTCTCCCACAAGGCCCCAAATTATCTTCACTGGTCATGCCCATTCATACTTACAGCAATGATTGGCCAAGACAAAATTTCTGCCATGAATGGTTCAGACCATGGAGTTCATATCTGAAAAACAAAACAAAACAAAAAAGTGGAGTTCAATTAGCACATGTAGAAGGAAGGCAGGTGTTCAGCATAAACCACATTGTTTGCACAAACACTTCAGGCCACTCTTATCCATTAGGGAACTGTGGGAACCCTCCCTATCTTTGAGTTCCCAGACGGCAGCCAAGGACCAACCTTGCAAGCAGGCCTTTCTAAGGACTGCAGTCTTAGCCCTGCCATGAATCCTGTCCGCTCATCTTCTCTCTATTCCAAGTGTTATTCCGTGCTAACCTCCTTGAAATAATGAACTTCATTCCTTTCTTCTTAAGAGCAGACTAAGCAAGTACACATTCAAGGATCCCTTTACGGTCCTGGTTGTGTATTCATGGAAGACCCCACATGCTTTTTGCAGGAAATGAAGCAATGTTCTGCTGGCAAATGTGTGTAGTTAGACTGAGGGAGCTGGTGAAACCATTGGAACCATTGGAAACCAATGGAAACCATTCTGGGGCTGCTCAAACAGTGCTGCAGACATGGCAGTAAAGCCTGGGTCCAATCAAATAGTAATGAGTCCATGTATCCATTATGGTTTTTGTTTTTATTGTTAATAACATATTTTATTTAATACAATATATCCAAATGTCATTTCAACATGTAACCAACTAAAATATATCAATAAAACATTTTATAGTCTTTTTTTATGCCATGTCTTTGAAATCTGATGCATAATTTTTGCTTAGAGCACATTTCACTTGAGACTAGCTGCATTTCAAATACTCACATGTGTCCACTTGCTAGCATATAGGTCAGTGCAGATTATTTACAATTTTTTTCAAAAAGAGCCTGACTCTTCTACAGCATATGTTATTTTCACACCCCATCTTGTCAGTTCTTTTTTCCCCCTATAAGTGTCACTAATCATCATTAAAAAAGTAAATCAAGGTGATCATGCATTTTTAAGCACTTGCCCATATTTTAGAAGAAGCAAGAAAACAAGTCCATTTTTGCCTTTGTGGATGGAGGAAGAAATCACATTTTCAAACAATGTTCATATTGGAGAACGGAAGACTCCATTATCGTCAGCAAACATGCAGAGATATCCACAGTGGGGCGGCAGGGAACTTGGCCATATGGGCACAGGGAGTGTTGCCCCTGATTTGGAAAGAGGATGGAGAAGGGAGACCATAATATTAGTGGGCATCTGATGGGGGAGTGAGAGGAAGACAAAGTGGGAACCACTAAAAGATAAAAAGGTCAAAAGCAGGTAACTGTGTAACTAAATGACACGATTTACTGACTTCAAAATTAAGTTTAAATTTCTAGTAAAAATATATGACTGTCATTTTTTTGAAATGGAGAAAAAAAGAAGTTTGTTGACATTTCTTTTTTAAAATAGAGGAACCAGTGGCTCACGCCTGTAATCCTAGCACTCTGGGAGGCCAAGGCGGGCAGATCGCTCAAGGTCAGGAGTTCAAAACCAGCTTGAGCAAGAGCAAGACCCCGTCTCTACTATAAATAGAAAGAAATTAATTGGCCAACTAAAAAAAAAATATATATAAATATATAGAAAAAATTAGCCGCCAGGCATGGTGGCACATGCCTGTGGTCCCAGCTACTCGGGAGGCTGAGGCAGCAGGATCACTTGAGCCCAGGACTTTGAGGTTGCTCTGAGCTAGACTGATGCCATGGCACTCTAGTCCAGGCAACAGAGTGAGACTCTGACTCAAAAAAAAAATAGAGGAATCATGTGGAATGTATGAATGGTAACATGAAGTAGCGGAATGGCTATGGGCTTTGGAGTCAGAAAGACCTGGCTTCAATCTTTGTTTCTTCACCAGCAACAAAGGACCATTTTTGTCCCCAGGAGACACCGGGCAATGTGCAGAGACAGTTCTGGCTGTTACAACTAGGGGAACAGGGAAGGGAGATGCTACGGACATGTATTGGGTAGAGGCCAGGGATGCTGCTAAATATCCTACAATGTTCATATTGGAAAAAGGAAGACTCCACATTGTCAGCAAACAATGCACAGGACAAATAATGATTTGCCCCAAACAAATAATTATCTGTCCCAAAATGTTAATAGTGCCCAGATCGAGAAACCCTGGTTTAAACACTGGTTGCATTGCCAACCAAATACATGGCCTTGAGCTTCACCCCTCTGAATCTCACTCAATCTTCCCACTGCAAATGGGGAGAATAATACCTACGCCACAGTGGAAATACCTAAAACACTTTTAAAAGCACTTGCTATGTGCCAGACACAGGAAACCAAGACAAAGAGAGTGAAGTTCAGAGAGGTCGGTGAGCAGCTCAAATTGCACAGCTAATGAGTAGCCAAACAGGATTAGGACCTAGTCCAAACGCTGTCCTTTACATGCTTCTGAGCTTCCAGCTTGAGGGGTGCAGGGCTCCATTGACCATTCAGAGGGACAGGTCACTTGCGGTCCCATGGCCTACTTCCGAAGAACTGATCAGAACTATGCAGATCCATTGGCAACAGCTTGCACTTTTGGATACAGCTGAGGTGTCAAAAGCTGGTGGTAGCCAGGAGCCAAGGTTGTAATAGAACCGATGCCCAAATATCTCCAGAGGGTTGCGATGCATTACAATCAGTGGATAATAGACTTGCTGGATGTAAATGGACAATCTCACATCACTCTTCCAGGAACGAAGCCCTGACTCCAGCTTTCCAGAAACACAGAGTGTTTAAGAGCCTAACACCACTCCCTTTGCAGCTGCCAAAACATGCAACTGAAGTGCTTCAGATGGAAGCTTCTTACTCAAATGGGTTTCTTTAACAGAAAATGATGGCTCTACAAACACAAACAACAAAAGCCTTTTTTCTTTTATGGATATATAAAATATATAAAATACCTATTGCTTTTCTTTCATAAAACAACACTTATTTCTTATCTCAAAAAGTATTTCATGAACTAAAGCTACAAAATTCTAATTTAGACGTCAGATATCACTCTAATGCTGGGCAAAGTATCCTATTTCCCTGGGGTTAAGAGTCCATATTTTCAGGCAATAACATTCTCAATTGTAAACAATAAGAACAATCATAGATTAATGAGTATTATGTTCCATGTGCTCCATGTGTACCATTATTCTCATATACAGGTGAGAAAACTGAGCCTCAGAGAGGTCTAATGGCTTGGCCACTGTCACAGACGTAGAAAGTAACAAAGTAAGTTTGAAACTGGAGCTCTCAGAAATCCAAAGTCTGACATCATGTCGCTACACCACAGCAATGGCAACTGCGACACAAGTACAGGGACCTATCCTAACAGTTTCAGAAGAGAAATGGAAATTTTAAAAGCAAGATGAGTAATATAATGTTTACGATGGAATTTTGGCTGCTTTGTGGGAGGCAAAGGTGGTTGGTAAGAGGAGCAGGAAATTTGGAGGCAAACTAGAATTAAATCTCATGGTCAAGTTATATGGTCTCATAGTGCTATATTGTTTTCTTTCTTAACTTTACCAAAATTATAATTTTATATTTACTTTGTCAAGGAAAAAAAAACAAACTCTGTAAAATAATTTTAAAGAGAGTTATTCTGAGCCAAATTTGAGGACCATGACCTGGAACCACTGCCAAGAGGCCTTGGGCAAGTGGACTCGCTGTGGCTGGGTTACAGTTTGGTCTTTATACATTTCAGAGAGGCAGGGGTTACAGGTAAAGTCATAAATCAATACGTGGGAGGCATACATTGGATTGGCCCAAAAGGGTGGGACATCTTGAAGTTGGGGGGTGGTGCTTACAGGTTATAGATGGATTTAAAGAATCTTTGGCGAGTATTTGGTTAAAGACATGAACCTTTGTCTAAAGGCTTGGAATGTTTTAACATAAGGAGCTGTTCTCAGAGATAAGCCACTGGACATAGATTTTTTATATAAATTGAAGACCTACAGGTTTGTCTTGCATGCCCTTAGGCCTGTTAATGGGTTACAAAGGAAGTCCCCAAGAAGGGAGGGGGGTCCATGATGAGGCCTGTCTGACCTCCCTCCTCCTGGCAGACAATTTAATTTGAAGATATTCCTTTGGCCACGAGGGGGTCCATTTAGTCAGCCGGTGGGGGTTGGGCCTTAAAATTATACTTCAGTTCACAACTTGTATGATTATTTGATCTGTCTCCCTTATGTCAAGATATTTGAATGCCAGGATTTTTGCTAATCTTTAATCCCCAGGACCTAGTGCAGAGCTTGGCACACAGTAAATGCTCAATTAACATTTGTTAAAACACTAGATGGATAGAGGTAGGGAAGAAAGAAAGGAAGGCTTTCCTGTACTTGCAGTTTTGTACTTTGACAGTCAGTGTATAGTCTCAGTGTGCCCAATGCTGTCACTAACTGTTCACTGGGTGTGTGTCCTCTGCTTGACCAGATTATAAGAACTGATAGGCAGATTATAAGAACTGATACGGTGTAGGCTGTTTGAACCCCATGGCTTCTAGCACAGCGCCAGGCACTCGGGACAGGCTTAGCAGAGTTATTTTTACACCAGAGCAAACAAAATGGCCCGGGGGTGGGGGGCGGTTGGAGGGGGTCGCACACCTATCGCCAGCAAAGGGTGACTAAGGTGTTTGGGGAACATGGGAGTGAGAGAATGCATGAAGAACTATTTTTCTTCAGACGTTTTAAAAGACAAGCTGCCCTCTGCTAAGTCGTTTTGCTTTTGCCAATTTATACTCTCATCAGCAGTACTGGAGACTCCCTGTTTCTCTGCACTGTGGAGCTGACCTAATTTGCTGACAGTTTTTGGAGCATCGTTTGGGGCTGCGGTCCCCAAGTCCCTGGCCACAGACCCGCACCAGTCGGAGCCTGTGGGGAACCGGGCCACACCGCGGGAGGCGAGTGAGGACAAGCAGAGCAAAGCCCCACCTGCGCCCACACCGCTCCCACCCCGGGCGTCGCTGCCGAGCCCTGCGCCGCGTCAGACCAGCTGCGTATCAGACCCTCAAGGGACCGCGAACCCCACTGCAAACTGCACAAGGAGGGATCCATCCAGGTCGGATGT